CGGAGCCGCCCTCTATGGTCCCGGCCCACCTGAAAGAGCCGTGTTCGTTTCTTCCCGCTGCGGGTTCATCTCCCGCGGGAGGGAGGCGTCCTGTGACCCCCGGGCCCGCAGACCTGTGGCGCCTCCTTCTGTGGTCGAGAGCGGCCTGCGTCAGGGATTTAGAAAACGGCCTGTCCAACCTGGAAAGCGCATTCTTTCTACAATCCTGAGCACCTGTTCTATAGAGACTTTCGGAGAGCCTAAACTGTTCCTGGTTTTTTCACGTATCACCTTATGTGTTGCCAAAAAGCTCCTGAAAGATGGGAATGATCATACTCAATTTACAGGAAAGGAAACCAACGCTTAGAGAAGAAATTTGCTCAAGTTCCCGCTGTGTTAAGTGGAAGACCGGGATTAGAACGGCTCTTTTCGGCTCCAGGATTCCTGATTTTCAACACACCTCTCCTGTTTCTCTTTGGTAATGATCTCGCTTCTGCCTTCCATGCAGGTTCCTCCAGCTCAGCCAGCCTGGCCACACTCAGTTATCTGACCTCACCTCTTCTGGGTGTCCCTCACTCTCCTGAGGAACTCCAGTCTGATGGCCTCAGGTGCCATCCCTACACGCGGAAGACCCCACACTGGCACTTCCAGTCTGATGGCCTCAGGTGCCGTCCCTACACGCTGAAGACCCCACACTGGCACTTCCAGTCTGATGGCTTCAGGTGCCGTCCCTACACGCTGAAGACCCCACACTGGCACTTCCAGTCTGATGGCTTCAGGTGCCGTCCCTACACGCGGAAGACCCCACACTGGCACTTCCAGTCTGATGGCCTCAGGTGCCGTCCCTACACGCTGAAGACCCCATACTGACCAGTCTGACCCTGCCATGCAGACATTATTGAACTCCAGACTTGTATATCACATTGTTTACTCAGTAGCCCCATTTGCATGTGCAATGGACATTCCAAACCCAGAATACCCCAAATGAACTTCTTTCTGTTACTCACCTTGCCTGTTCTTTCAGCAGCCTTCATCTCAGCAATTGATGGCAACTCCGTTTTTTCAGTTGCTCAAGCCAAACCCTTGCTGTCATGGTTGTCTTTTTTTTCCCACCCCAAACCCACATCCATCTGCAAATTCTGTTTGCTCTGTTTTTAGAATCTATTCAGAATCAAGCCACTTTCAACACCTCCACTGCTATACCCTCCCCCAAGCCACCATCATCTCCAGTCTGGATTGCTGTATTGGCCTCCTGACTGGTCTCCCGACAGTCTAATCACAGCCCCAGAGCTATCCTCTTAAAATCTACGTCAGATCATGTCATTCACTGGTTCAAAACCCTCCAAGGGCTTCCCATCGCGTTAGAGCAAAAGCCAACACACACAAACAGTGGCACACAAGCCTGTCACGATCTGCCTCTTCTGTTCTTTGTTTTGTCTGTAGCGCTCAGAACGGGGCTTGGCAGGTAGCAGGCAGTCAGTGCATGCTTGTTGAATGAATTTATAAGATGCCTCATTGTTTATGAAGTGCTTTTACATCTGTCCTCTGGTCATTCATCTTTACTATAGTCTCATGAAACAGGGATCATTATATCTGTCTTGCAGATAAGTAAAATGAGGCAACAGAGGGAGACTTGCCTGAAGTAATAGTGTGAGTGATGGGAGAGGCTAGACAAGATCAATGGTTCATACTTTCAAGATGGGGCTTTCTGCTCTGCAGGGAGCTGCTTCTGTAGATGGCAAAGCATGGAGCTGAATGGGGTCTGGACAAGGAAGGTGAACTCAGTAATCCAGATAATATCTGGACTGTGGAAAGATTAAATGAAGTAATATAAGGCACTTAGCACAATGCATAACACATAAGAAATGTGTTATTACTTTTATTATTAAATTATTAAAAGCTGTCAATGCTGGTGTTTAGTGGGGTTGGGGGTGAAGGGCAGTAGTCAGAGGTGCCAGAGACAGTTTAGGAAAAGTCTGGAAAGTTTCAAGAGCAAAAATGACTTGCTGGGACTGTTTGCTCTATGTATTGTACATTAAAATTATTTTTTTTTTAAAAAAAACACTTTATTACTAAGACAGTCATGAATGAAAACTAACTAACTTTTTCCACATCCCACATAAAGGTGGATTATCCCTTTTTCCTATACCTGAAAACAACTGGGCCAGCCACAGAAGGAAGGCCCAGAGATATCTAGATTAGAGCACTGGGTGAGGAAGGATGAATTTTAAAAAGGAGAGAGATGAAAATCAGGCAATAAAGGGGTGTGGGTGGCTAAGAATGGACAGAGTAGGAGGTAAGGATGAGAGAGGCAAAAGCCAGAAAAGGAATTGGGGGTGGGTATACAGGGGAGGGAGAATGAAGGGGAAAAGGAGAAAGGAGGGAAAACAGGCAGGATTTTATTCCCTCAATTTCCTTATTAGTATAATAATAGTCATCACGTACTGAATGCTTGTTATGTGCCAGGCACTGTTTGAAGCATTTGTAGTGTCTCATCTAACATTCCGTGGTCTGATTGTTCCTGAGCACTTGCTCACCCTTCTCTGCAAGCGGTGTGACTTGCAGCGCCTCCTAGTGAGCAGCATGCCCACTCTGCGATGCTGACTTTACTGTGTGGCTTGCTTGGGTGACTGCATGTGAGTGGATGCGAGTACACCACGTTCCAGAAGAAGCTTTGTCACTGTGTTTTTGCCAGCACTCTGCTCTTTCCCTCTGCCTCGAGAATGGCATGTCCCAAGTAAGGGTTGCTCTTTTAGTCTAGGACCCAGGATGAAAAGACACATGGAGCAGAGCCACATGAGCCCACCTGTAGCCACTACAGTCCCATGTAACAGTGAGAGAAATAAATGCTCTTGTTGTGGCACTGAGATTTTTGGTGTTGTGATTGCAGTAAAGCTGACTAATACACCTCCCAACAACCTTAAGAGATAGCAACTGTTATCCCCTTTTTACAGAGGAGGAAACTGAGGCAAGTAACTTGCCCAGTTTCATACATTTATAAGTGGCAGAGCTAGGCTTTGAAGCTAGAGAGTCTGGCTCTAGAGCCTATGCTCTTAACCTCTAAATAACAGTGTACCCCTCAAATGGGATTCTAGGTTATTTTCAAGCAAATTATTGTAAATGGTCATGCATGATACTTATACAGCACAAGGGAAGGGGGAGAGGGTGGGGATGACACACAGACTGGGCATCTCTGTGTAAAAGCACACCTTTTTGGGGAATCTGAGTCAAGAGAAACCACATCCCTTAGTGGCTTGAGCTTCTCTGGGAAACTACCAGCAGGGGCCAGTGTGCCCCTGAACCTGGTGGTATTTGAAGGGTTCATTCTAGGGAGAACAGTCTTCTGGGCTGAGAGAAATTCTGGCAAGACAATTTTCTTTTCCTATGGCTTTGTCCCTTGCACCCCAACTCCCTTGCAAACACACAGACACACAGGCACTCACACGTGCGCACGCATGCACACACACTGTCTCAACAGAGAGCACTGCTGTCTTGGGTCTGTGTTTGACAACACTGATCCCTAGCCCAAGTGCAAGAAGGCCAGTCATATGTGTGGTCCAAGTGCAGTAATGAGAGTGGTCCATCTCTTGTGAAGGCGACCCCTCAGCACAGGGACCCTGAACAATGGTTCTGCTCACCACGCCTGAGACTTTGCTTTCTGTTTCCTATAGCTTCTCTGGGAAAGGAAACCCTGGGAATTCCCATCCCTAGGTCTGCAGAAAACATCTTTGTTAAAGCCCAACCAGGGCGGCGCAGCACTCTACCCGCGCTCTGTGAGTCTCGGGCATGTCAGCAGCTGGCTCGCTCCCAGACAATCGCAGCTCATGGGGCCTAAATATAGTATGTGCATCTGGCTGATTTTGCACTTGGAGCTGCTTGGCTCTGACTGACTGAGCTTCCTGCCTGATCACTGCTGAGGGACTGAGGGGTAGGGGGGCTGTTCTCCACTGCTGCACCTGACAAGGATATCCTGCTGCCCCATCTGCAGCTGCGGGCCTGTGTCCCACACACATGGGGCACATTTTGCTCTGCTGGTTCCTCCACAAATTACCCTGTCAGACTGGAGAAGCTTTGGGCCTCTTTTCCCTGACACTAAGGGGCCAGATGTATCTTGGGCGAACAGGATTATTTTGATAGTGGAAAGGCCTTTAATCCATTTTCTGGTAAACATTCCAAGCAGGTAGCATATGGTTATCGCTGTGGAAAAACAAGCTGTTTTTCGATCCCTCTGGTAATTTGTTCTGGGCAAACAACCCTGTTTTTCCTGAGTCTAAGCCTTTTGTAATCATGTTGATTTAATCCTGTGCTGTTGATTTTCTCTCTGGTTCCTGAGGCCTGGCTGGGGAAGACAGTCCTGTCTTAGGAGACAACACTCTCTGACAGGGATTCTCCTTTTATCTTTGGATACCTTCATTACCTGAGAAACTAGTGAGACAAGGAGCATATGAGAAATACCATAAACTCCCTGGAGAAAGGAAGCTGGAGCTCCCCACAGAAACCATCAGGAAACCAGAACCCGGCCTCTGAATTCTGAAATTGTGGTTTTGAAGTGAGCTGAACTAGATTGCCTCTGAAAAGCAAATATGATGTTGGTAAAAAGATTTGTGAAACCCTCAGATGAATGCAGAAAACAGTACATTTTCCTCTATTCTGTGCAACTTGCTGGTGATTTTTCTGAGCTACAATATTCAGAAATTAGCTTTGATAACGTCTATTTCAAAAGTGGCACTTACCTAAAAAGGTCTTTAATATTGTAATAACTTGCAAAAACAAACAAACAAACTAAACAGGCGGTGCCTACAGAGAGTATCCTGCTCCAGTGGCTTCCCTGAGCTGGGCCCCTGTCCTGCTCTAGGCCTGCAATGCCACATGCACTGTCTTAGCTACTCTGGCTCAGCCTCAGGCCTCCTTCCCGGGAGCTTCTGTGGCTCTCTGCCTGGCTGGTCTCCTGACATTCCCCAGCATCTGGCCTGCTTCTCCTGATGTGACCCCTGAACACAGGGCGGACCATGGCTCTGTCTTTGTCCCTCCAGGGCCTAGCACAGGCCTGTCACAAGGCAATCACTCAATTACTGCTAAACAACAAATGGGCAAGTGTCCTAGACCAGAGGTTGTGAATATGGGCTGGGAAAGTAAAAAATTTACCTGGCAATTCCTGTTTGATTCATTTTCTACCCTCTCCTAGGCCCTGCCTCTATCCCACCCGAGACCCTGCATCAAAAACTCATGAGGCCCTCCTGATGCCAAGATTCTGACATTCAGGATTATCCATTTGCTGTTCAGGCCGCCCACGGGCCACCACCAGTGACTCCACCTCTGTGTCCTATGGCAGCCTCTTCTTAGCCCTACACCCAGCCCCAGGACATGCACGGAAATGAAGGAGACGTGTCGATGTCAAGAGCAGCAGGCCATGGCACTTCCGCTTTGGCTCATCTGCCAGACACAGCCAAAGTGCCACAGGGTAAGAGTTTCACAGGTTGGAGCAGGGGATCAGAGTGGACACACTGGAGGAAAAATAAGAGGAAAAAGAGAAGGTGATGCTTGCTTCTTCAGTTCGGTATGGCACACCTTTATTAAGCACCCAAGAAACCGAGTGGCCAAAGGAGAGCAGAGAGGACAGAACTGCAGGCCACTCCCACATCTCTGGGCATCTCTGCGATGATGGGGCTGGGTCAGGGAAACCGGTGTCAAGTTCACCCTGGTGAGTGGCCCCACATGGCGCGGTCACTCCCATACTCTGCTGTTTATGGTGACTGAGAAAAGCTTCTGCATGTACTGGAGATGGAATGGCTCCTATCTTGACAAGCCTTTGTGGTTCTTCCCTTTAAATCCACTACCCAGAGACCCCAGTGGGAGAAGAATCTGATCTTCAGTTTGCTCTGTTTTGGACAAATGCTTCACATGTAAACTGTTGCATAGTTTCGCAAACACTTCCTCATTCATTCCAGAAATTCTTCAGCAGTGGACAAACACAAATTGTTCAGTATCTGGCCCCAGGGAATTCAAAGCCCTTTCTCCCTAAACAAACATTTCTCCTCATTGCCGCGCTTTGATAAGAAGTACTGAGAGTCATCCCCTGTCCGCTAGAGGAGAGGAACACAAACCCAGAGAAGAAAAGGGACACACAGGTGTGCACAGGGCAGGGGTAATGGGAGTGGCACTGCCTTCCGGCTGCTGCTGGGCAGGCCTGGACTCTCACCCACACAGGCAGCATCCTTTCAACACCATGTGGATCACCTCCTCAACATGATCAAATTGACGTGTTTCTTGCAGTGAGCTCCTTGTAAGAATTCGAGTCTCACTGATGAAGTTATTCTTGGTCTGACCTCTGCGTAGGGGTGCTGTGCTGTGCAAGGCTCACAGGGTGATGTCGGAGGCTTGGAGGTCAGAGACACCACAGTGAGGGGATGGCTGGGCGCAGGGCACATCCCATTCCTGCTGGCAGCCCCTGACTGTCCCAGCAGAGTTCCTGAGCAGCAGTGTGATGTGAGGGCAGATGGGGATCTTGAGATTCACTTGGATGACAAAGACAGGGGCTTGTGGCCCTGCAAGGGCTCTGGGCCAGGCACCAGGCAAGTGGATGAAGCCCATGCCCCAGGGCCTGGGTCGGGTACTGCTTTCCCAAGCAGGAGAGGTGTGGTGTGAACAGGACTGGCCACACCATCCAGCCATATAATGTGGCTGGTGCCATAGTTTCAAGGCTACTCACTGCCCAGGCCAGCCTTGCACGCAGACCCCAGCAAGTTCCTGGCCCCTCAGCCTGGCTCTGGGCCCTGTGAGTGCTCACCTAGGGCTGTGGGACTCATGGTACTTGGGCTTCAGCCAGGAGGAAGCTCAGGCGCTAGGTTCCTCAGGTAGTGGCCATCAATCAGTGTGACCAGTTGGGGCCCGGCCACTGGGGCTCAGTGTGCACTTGCTGCTGGGGGCTTCAGAAGAGGCAGGGACTGGCCAGCTACTTGGTCTCCACAAGCTGCTCCAGGCGCTGCAGCATCGTTAGTCGCAGGGCTTGGAACCTGGAGGGAGACACAGCCAAGAGGACTCACCAAAGCTGGAGGGGTCAGGGCGGTGGGAAGCAGAGCAAGGGAGCCCACAGATACCTGGTCCAGGAGACCACTGCTCCCTAATGGAAGATCGACAGCCTCTACCCAGGGGAGGAGAGCCCAGCCTGCTCCCTGGGAGGAGCAGTCCAACGGGGCTGCAGGCTGTGTAGAACTTCAAAGCAGAATGTTGCTGTTTCTATTCCAAAGACTCTCCAGCACAGACCAGAGTGTGCTGGAGTGGACAGGGCAGTAGATCAGGGATGAGAAAGCCTGTGTTCCAGCTCAGGCTCTGCAATAACCTGTGCTACAACCTTCCTCATCTTGAGCCTCAGTTTCCTCTCTGTACACTGAATGGACTGATCAGGTGATCCCATGTCCCTTCCTGCTCTAAAATCCTGCAGTGACACAACCAACCGCACAATGGATGCTTCCCTCTGCTTGGGTCTCCGCTGACTCCCAGTGGGACCTGACTGCACAGACCAAAGCTGGTGGGGCAATGTGGCTTTCCAAGAGTCATTCATCCAGAATGCAGAAACCAAACCAGTCCTTGACCGCAGGCCTTCGCAGTGAGCAACGTGGACAGTCTTCTTAAGCTGGACCCCACCTGGGCCCTGGCTGAATGCCCCCCATGTGTCCCGTCCGGGCTTTACCTTGATGGGTGAGAGACATAGCATCAAGGACCACGGCCTGACTAACTTCACACAGCCATGCCCTGCCAGAGCTTCCCCAATAGCCACAGGTGACAACGGCTCCTCTTTCTATTTTCCTGGTCCCCTGCACCCGAAAACAACAGCTGGTGCTGGGAGTTCCAGCAACCACTGCTAGTACAAAAGGCATCGGACCAGGCTGAGTCTGCCCCTAGAAGGCCCTCTCTTCTGTTGCTTTTCCAGAACCATATCACCAGCAGAACCTGGAAACCTGACTGAGTGCCCACTGCACTCCTGCCTCTGCCTTTCCTGCCCAGTTTTCTTCAGCTGTGCCCTGTGCTGTGGAGGATGCTAAGGCTGGATGGGTGGTCTGGGCTGTGTCTCCATCATTTTGGAGGCTGTCACCCAAGCTTGTTGCCAATACGAAGCAGGGGGCCAGAAGGCCATGCTGGGGAACCAGGGCTAGCAGGCCTCACAGACTGCCAGGGTGCCCAGTGTGTGGGAAGGAGAGAAGCCCCCAGCCGGCACTGCTGCCATGCCTCGCAGAATCGCCCTGCTGCTCGGGGTCCACGGCTGGCTGGTTAAGGGCTGCTTACTTCATGGTCAGTTTGATTATTTCTCTTTCCTCCTCTTCTTTTAATTTTTCAACAAAACTGTCCAGCACCGGCATTTCAAACTTAATGTACTGAGCGACCTAGAAAATCCAAGAACATTTAAATGTGCTGTAAATTAGAAGCCAAAAACGTGTTTTCTTTTCCTCGTGGCTTCCATAGTGGCCTATCCAGATGACATCTTGTATCCATGGAAGGAGCTGCTCCTCTCCCCACCCGATCCCAACACTGCTCTGTTGTGTACAAGGATGGGAGAATGGAGCCTGTTCTTATCTCTAAGGCTATTGTTAGCCCTGGGAGAAAACATTAAGCTGAGTATTAGGAAAAGCACTCAATACTGCAGCATTGTCACACTGGGTGTTCTCTGGGGTGGGGGTCGGGAGTTGGGGGAGCACTGTTGTTTCTGACAATGAAATGAAATGCACCAGCCTGTGAACATCCTGAGAGAGCCACCGGGCCCTCTCCCTGGGGTCCAAGCCCCACGGGCCTCTTCTGTGCAGAAGAGTTAGGAAATGTGCACACTGTCTGGCCAGGACTCAGACTGGCAGTAAGACTTAGACACCTCCTTCCCTTCTATAGGCCCTAGTTAGGCCCTAGTTAAGGGTGGATCTTTAACATAAGTACAACAAAACACACTCCAATGAAGGAAAAGGACGGGGCCCTTGACCCAAGTTCTAGGACCAAGTTTCTAGGACCCAAGTTCTCTTTTTCCCTAAGCCAGCTGATGGAGCTGGTGGTCACTGACAGGAAGAAGGCGGCCTGAGTCATCACCGTGCTGGGCTCGGGCCCTTCAGGATGGCGATGGGCCAAGCTCACCTTCAGAGCCCTTTGGGAATCCCTTCTCTCTGACCTGTTGTCTCCCAGCCCCTCCCTCAGGAGCAGACCCCCTGAGCCTCAGCCCCCACTCACGTCGTGGGGGACTTCCTCGCCCAGGTCGGCTTCCATCAGGAACATCTTGGCGATCTTCTCACATGGACCGTGTAGGATTCTGGAAACCAGTGGGTACTCACAATCTTTTAATTTTGTCCGCTCTGAAAGGAAGGTGGTTTACAAAATTCATGGGACATTAGGATTGCCTCTCTCTGTTCCAGAATTGACAGAAAACGTGTTCTATCCAGAACTGATAGAAAATGTGTGTCTAGGGGTCTGGGGAACCTTCTCCAGACCTTGCTAAGAATTCTGCCCTGAGAGACATGTGATCATACTGAAGGGCAGCAGAATCTGCCACTGCAAAACATGCCTCTTTGGCATAAGGATTATGTTGAGCTGAAGGTGACTGAAAAGCAGCAGAAAAAATAAAAGTTCTCTGCCTTCCCCCCCAGAAGCAGTACATCAATTTCTCATGGTGTCCCCCCTCCCCTCTCTACTAGGAAGGACAAAGGTTAATCACTAGAGACAACGCAGAACTGATAGAAAATGTGTGTCTAGGGGTCTGGGGAACCTTCTCCAGACCTTGCTAAGAACTCTGCCCTGAGAGACATGTGATCATACTGAAGGGCAGCAGAATCTGCCACCGCAAAACATGCCTCTTTGGCATAAGGATTATGTTGAGCTGAAGGTGACTGAAAAGCAGCAGAAAAAATAAAAGTTCTCTGCCCTCCCCCCCAGAAGCAGTACATCAATTTGTCATGGTGTCCCCCCTCCCCTCTCTACTAGGAAGGACAAAGGTTAATCACTAGAGACAACCCCAGACCCTCACGAACCCAGAAACTACACCAGAGAAGTCTAGATGACAAATCTTGCTGAAACTTGCCCTGTCTTCCCTTAGTCCCCCAAGCACTGACCTCACCATTTGCCACCCTAGAAGCTCAAAGCCCGTTTCCTTTGCCTTGCCACTCTAAAAGTTTATTGTTCTTTT